CGGGATCGCGCCGGGATCGCGCCGCTGCCGCTCCCGTGGTGCTGCCGCTGCCGCCGGAGCCGCGGGCCGGCCGTGCCGGCGCCGGGCGGGAGGATGCGGCGGTTCGCGCGGGTGGCGCTGCTGTGCCTGGGCTGCGGCGTCTGCTCGCTGCTCTACGGCCTCAGCCAGCTCGCCCTGTCCCTGGAGCAGGAGCCTGGCGGCAGCGGCGGCCGGGAGAGACAGGCCCGAGAYCCCGCCACGCCCGGCGCCCGGTGGCAGGCGGGGAGCGCGGGCCGAGGCGAGGCGGGGACCGGCAGGTACGGGGCGCGGGAGCCGGAGCCGGGGCCGGGCGGGGACGCGGGCTCGGGCGGTGCTTCCCGCCGCATTCCTGCGGGGAGGGCCGGGAGGCGTGGAGCGCGGCGGTCTCCGTCCCGGCCGCGGGCGCTCCCGGCTGCGCGGCGCCGCCGAGGCCTGGGAGGCGCTTTCGGGGGCGGCGGTGTCTGTGCGCTCCCTCCCGGCGTCCCGCGGGCCGCGGGGCCGGAGAACGGCGGTTGSGGAAGCCTTAAACAAGGAAAACTTTGAAGAGTGGCGTTGCCGGCGACCGAGGCCGCCCCCGTGCGCGGCCCCACGGCGCTAAGCCCGTCCTGGATGCTGCTGGGTGGGACAGGGCGGGTAAAGCGAGGAGGGTGCGTTTCCTTCTTCCAGACGGGGGAAATGTCACCATCCTCCTTCAGGTGTGAAACTTAGTAACTTCATGAGTTACTAGTTATTATTGTAACTATAATAGTGTTACCGTATTAGTTACCAAATCTAACTTCATTGAGCAAAACTGTTTGTTRCGGGATATTTTAATACAGCTAGACTTCTCACAGAAACCAGTGAGTTCAGTTCTGTAATTAAAGAGTTGTATATCTGAGCATCTCACACTCTGCAGAGCTGCATAGTTTTGTTCCTTTCTGTCAGCAGAAATTTTAATGTGGCCAGGTGGTGAGTGAGATTATGGAATGGAAATTGCTAGTTTTCCTTCAGATTATAGTTTTGTAATCCTGTTCATCTGTGGCCACCGGAACCCTGAGGCCAGGAAAAGAGGAGTGACAAGAAATCAGTTTCTGCAAGTGGAGGAGAAATTAGTACCAGACCTTTCTGGGCCAGTCTAGCTCTAACTCTGCTTTGGTTCTACAACAGTTTAAAGCAAAGTGATTTTAATGGGTAGACGATGCTTCCCAGGGCTGTACAAGCTCTGGCGCCCCTCAGTCCTTRCACCGCATGTGCTCTTCTGAGCACACGAGTGAGTTGATCTGGTATGGCGACCTGCTTGAAAATTACCTGTTTTTTTGGCCAGCTCAGCGCTCTGAATTGCCTCATCATGTAATTATGAAAGTGTCGATGCTGCTGTGAAGCACTTATGGAGGATGGCARTATGACAAACTCTGATTTAATAATCTTAAAATACCATGAAACAGCATTCTGAGTTATTAGGGGTGGAGTCAGCTGAAATGTGAAACCCAGCTTTTGACGGGTGTAACTGCTTAAAAGATTTTTTTTTCCTCTGTGCTTTTGCTTTAGTTCAAGTGAATACGGATTATAACATGGAAAAAAATGTGAGGATGATTGTTCCTCACTTCTAGTTTGTGATTAAAAACYTGTGAGTGGTTGAAATCTACTAGTTCTAAACAAAAATATGATGAAAAATCATATGTATGGTATTTGCTTTACTAAAGAAAAAATGCAGTTTAAAGGAAGCAAACTTTTGTTATCATACAAGATGATAATCTAAATGATTTTTTGCTGTTAAACACTGGAAAGACATTAAGCTGCATCGTACTGCCGGTAAGCAAAAGGAGAACCAAGTTTATTTTAAAAGCTTTACTGTTTTAGTATTTGCACTGAAGTTTAGTTTTTAAATTAAATATATGAGTGGAGAAAACCCTCGGCAAGATTCTTGCTGCAGTGACATCAGATGAGATATAAATCTGCCCTGTGTTCTGAAGTAGAAGAATTTCACTAATTGACAAAATTATTTTCTGAAGTCCCACAAATGCTTCCACTGTATGCATTTTTCTGGGGGTATATTTGCTTGCCAAACCAGTGTCTGTTGTCACCTGTGTGGGAATTCTTTATCTATAAACTGCTGTCAAATTGAAGTCTCAGGATAAATGTCCCCTGTTGTAAGTTACTGAAGCATTACATACTGTATGTACAGTGTGTGCAGAATGTACTTGTAAGTCAGACTCTTAGAACAGTCCCTAAAAGGCTTTTGTTTATGGAAAAGCTGTGGCAGTTAARAAATGTCCCACTGAATGTTCTTTTAGACACATTTTTCAATTATTCTTGAGTATTAAACTGCATTATGTTCACTGTTGTCAGTGATACACACATCTTGCTGAATATATTGGTGTTTTTCAGTTTTTATACATCAGCTTCTTCTTTAGTAGAGACTGAGCACAATGGCCATGTCTGTTTTATGCCCACTTCTGACTGTTGTGTGATCATGTAATATCCTGGAGGGTTCATAACCTTATGGAGTAAATTGCATTTAGATCACCTTCTAATCCTTCTTGAAGTTTAACATTTTGTGTGCAAAAATAGTAACTTTCATAAATGGGCTGCTTCAGCTGTTTTCACTGATAGCTTTAAAATACATTTCAGCAAAGCAAATCTAACTATTGTCTGAAGGCATCCATGCACTCAGCAGTGTTTTTCTTTTTTATTTAGCCAAGAAGTGTTTTCTTTGCCTGCATTGTCTAGTTTGGTATATGCCACAAGAGCAGAAGGGACTCGATCATGCTCTGGGATAGGGGAGGGAGAAATTGAATTTTTGTTAGTTTTTGGAAACACGCAAACATAAAAACTGCAAGCCTTGAATAAGGCTTTAGAATGCTACACCTGGAGGAATTCAGCAGTAATGATGACATGTTTAAGAAGAAAAKAATTTAAAAGGAAGTAACATATTGAGACTAAAATTAGAGGCTGAGGTAAAATCCTCCAATAAACATAATAATTCAGGGGAACTTGCTGGGTAATCAGTTTGGTAAGGAGTTGTTTTGTTTCAAACACTACTCTAGCCTGAGGAATAAGAGGACAGGAGACTAAAGGCATGTATTAAAACTTGGTATAAACAGCTGAAGAACACTTCAAGAATTTAATAGCTGATCATCTTCATAAATTACTTGGATGCAGGACTGGAAGGGTTACTAGTTTGCAGGTGACACAAAACTGGGAGGAGCTGTTGACTCCCTTGAAGGCAGGGAGGCCCTGCAGAGCGACCTCCACAAATGATAGAGGGCTGAGCAATCACCAACCATAYGAAGTTCAACAAGGGAAAGTGCTGGATTCTACACCTGGGGTAGGACAGCCCAGGTCCTGGGTGTGCATACAGACTGGGGGATTGAGGTTCTGGGAAGGGTGTTTGGCACTGGAACAAGCTTCCCAGGGAAGTGGCCACGGCACCAAGGGACCTGGGTGTCCTGGTCAATGGCAATTTGAATTTGAGTCAGCAGTGCCCTGGCAGCCAGGAGGGYCACCYGTGTCCTGGGGRRCATCAGGCACAGCAACACCAGCCGGGCAAGGGAGGGSATTGTCCTGCTCTGCTCTGACCTGGGGCGGCCTCACCTCGAGTGCTGGGGACAGCTTKGGGAGCCACAATRTAAGAAAGATGTTAAACTATTAGAGAGTGTCCAAAGGAGGGCAGCTAAAGTAGTGAAGGGCTTTGAGGGGAAGCTGTGTGAGAAGCAACTGAGGTCACTTGGTCTGTTCAGCCTTGTGAAGAGGAGACTGAGGGGAGACCTCAGTGYAGTTACAACTTCCTCATGAAGGAAAGAGGAGGGGCAGGCACCGATCTCTTCTCTGTGGTGGCCAGTGACAGGACACAAGTGAATGGCCTGGAGTTGTGTATGGGGGAGTTTTAGGTTGGATATTAGAAAAAGATTCTTCAGTCAGAGGGTGGTTGGGCACTGGAACAGGCTCCCCAGGGAAGTGGTAAGGGCACCAGGAATTCAAGAAGCGTTKGATAACACTTTCAGGCACATGGTGTGACTCTTGAGGATGGTCCTGTGCTGTGCTAAGAGTTGTACTTGGTGAACCTTGTGAGTCACTTGCAGCTTGGCATAATCTGTGATTCTGTAAATCTGGAGATTAGTTTTTAACTGTGAAGAAAGATTAACATTGGAGGTAAATTGTCCTATTGGTTATTCATTCCAGTGAGAAAAGTAGTAATGAGTAGTTGGTACTATCATATGTAAACAGCTAAATTAGCAATGGATCTGAACTTGAAAAAATGAAAACGTTGCCATCTCTACTTTTAGTGAATACAAGATCCATCAAAATGTAGTATATATAATCAGCCTATTTTCCTTTATAGGATGATTTATGGATAGAGRAGGTGACTGAGAAAAAAACGAAACATCAACCCCCCAAAACCAGCATAAATGTATATTTGCTGTGTACAYGTAGCAAATAAATTAATTAGTGCTATAATCTGCTGTCTGTGGAGTATCCTTTCAAGTCAGTCTTTTTCCACATGCTTTCACATTAGTTAATTAGCAGACTGTTTCAGAAGTGAATCTTCAGTTAATTTTGTCAATGTTGCCACTTCAGTTAGGCAGATAATGTCCATCTTTCTATTCAGGTCCAAAAAAGTGCTATTCTAATGGCAATTTTGAGAAATATAGAAGGAATCAGTCTGCCATCAGTTCTGTGAAGGTAGTCAGGGTGATGAATTTGCCCCTATTAAAATGGAACATTTTTCTATTACACTGTAGTTCACCATTTTTGTGCAGCCAGCCATGCTGTTCTGCTATGTGTGACACTGGTATCAGGTTATATTGCTCTTGCTTTCTATTCTGGCAAAGGGAGGGTCAAATGGATTATAGTGCATAGAAAACGATAGAAAGTATATTCACAAACTTAGCAGAGGGTGGTTTTGACAGGTTTTGACCCTCTTGAATGTGCACACACATGTACAGGTGAATCTGCTGGATCATTCCAGTTCCTGGCCCTAGCCTTGTGGCAGCAGGCYCCCCAGGATTGCCTCATGAAAGGGAGTCTTTTGGATAGCTGGTCCTGACCTATAGCCTTAAACATAAGCCGTTTGATTTAAACTTGTCAAAGCTCAGGTGGCCAGTTGCCATCCCTCAGACCTCAATCTCTGGTGGCTATGTAAGAGAGGTGCTCTTCCAGTAGCTCAGACCTTCTGTTCTCTGCAGTCTGGCCYAGTCTTACGGCTGTGTCAGATACCTGGCTGCCAAGCCTCTTGCTCTGCTTGTGGGCTAGTCCAGTTGCTGGTGGTTACGTGCACCAACATGCACACACCTACACGCTGTGTGCACTGTCTCTTCAGTCCCTGGCACTGCAGGCCCAAAGGCCCTTATGGTCTGTGACCATCTTCTCGTTTGTGGGCGCTTGGACCTCTGTACRTGCACATGTAATGGATCCACTCCTGTCACCCAGGAAAACAGGAATCTTCACATGTAACTGGACCCTCTTGTCTTTTGTTTTTTGCATTCTCGTTCCTCCCCAGTCCACCTTGATCTCACGAGTCTTACCCCCACTCTTGCAAGCACTAACCCCATTAGGCAGTCAGTAAACTGGCCTGGGGAGTCTCTCCAGTCTGGTGGATCATCTGCTTGGTTCAATGGGCTCTCTGACCTTGTGAATTTGGGATGTGTTAGGGTGCTCCATGTGCCTGGGTTAGATTGCTGTGTTTGTTTCACCTGACATTATTTTAATCCTTTAATCACATAACAATAATAGATGTGAATTTTGAATGCAAAATATCCCTCCCTAGCACTGAAGGTGACTATTCCGGTCTGACTGGTAACCTCTCTGAGGTAACAATGACTGTGCCTGTTTGGTGAACAGGTACAGTGCATCTCCCTGGCTTGGTAAAACAATTGTTTGTTGTCCAGGTTTCCCTCAAATTTTATTTCAAGTAAAAAAAAAATCTTCATGAGTGGCATTTTAAGTGATCTTATTGTGGATGACAAGAAGAAAATTCTGTTCAATTATTCCAGTCTCTTAATCCTTTATATGAAAARACTTTGGGGAATATGGTAGCATAAGGTCAATGGAGAGAACTTCTGTTGAGAGAAGAGTACCTTGAGCTAACATTAGGTARATGGCATACATACATATACTACTAACCTTTTATTTTAAACATGAAATTTATGAATCAAACCTAASGCTGATAATCTTTGTGCTAAATGGAATGTTGGGAAGGCTTGATGAATCAGAGAAATTACGTAGGCACTACTTCAAATTYACTTCTTGCCATGGTAGTTTGGACAGGCTAATAGCTCAAGACAGCTAAGAAAACTGTTGTTGTCAACTGGAAGAAGAATCCCCTGTAATAAGAGCATAATTATCTTCTAAACCAGAAAGCTGGTTTTGAGTGATTTTCTCATTACTTTTAGGATAAAGTAATAGACACAGTTACTTCAAAAATCTACACAGTAGAAGTCGTAAAGATTGTTCTTCAGATAAGTGTAAGATCTTATGTTTTTATAAAACTTCAAAGCCCACAAAGAGTAATGTGAGAATGAATCTGGCAGAGAGAACTCAAGTTTTTATACCATTTAYTTTGGTAAAGAGTATCACTGCAGGTAGTTACAGTCTCTATTTTCATTTTTTGTACCTGGGTATTTATTTGGGGAGACCATTCTTAAGTCATGAAATAAAATTACTTGAAAATTCTTGCAAACACATCTATCTACAGAATACCAGAATTTCCTGTGATCTGCCAAAGAGCTGCACCACCCCCTCCAGCACCTAAATGAAGCTTTGTGAAACACTGYGTGTTTATCAGGTCGTTTTTCTCAAGTGTTACAAAAAGTAGAAATTACTCATTTTGATATTTTTTTATGCTACTTTAAGCTGTTATTGTCTGGTATTTGCAAAACACTAGTCTTCACAGATTTCAGATTACAYTACTAAGATGGTGCAGAATAATTTCAAACTTGCAAAGCCAACTTTCAGTAGAYTTCTGAGCTATAGTCCTTAAATACATTTTCATCAGCAATTCTGTGTCAGTTTTCTTCTTGCACATGTCTTTCGTCCACGGATGCTAACTTTCAAAGAAGAATAAACACTACTGGCTTTGTGTCACCAGGKCAGGGAGCAGAGGAGGTCAGTCGAGTATATCACTTGCTTTACAATATTCTGCTTACTCATTTCAGRTCTTAAATCTTGATGGTGATTTTCTTACCAGAACTTTTGAAAATACACTTTYGTTTCTATTTAAAAGTATTTCCTATATTGCTGTTGCATAAAATGTATTGGTGAATTAGTAAATCCTGCTTTTTAGCTGTTAGTGTAGCACATGTCAATAAATTATTAGTCTTGCTATTAGTATGAAGAAAGAAAACTTGTGAAATGTAGTGGTTATTTCTGTATTGCATTAACCATTTGCTATGAAATAATGGAATTCTTTGGTGCTGCAAAGTCCCATTTTTTTATTACAAATCAGATTTGCACATTTGCATTGAGTAGAGTAATGGATGAATAGGGATTGAATTAGATGGACAATGTAATCTTGAAAATGAAATGTTACAATTGCTTCTCTGCTTTGAGTAGAAAAAGGTATTGAAAAGGTGAAATTCTAGCATCAAGTACTGCCATTCACTCTTTTCCTATGGACTTAAATTAAGCCTAGAATGTAGAAAGATCCTCAAAAATCCCAGCCTCTCTGTTTTTCTCATTCTGAAAATGTATGAAGAGGAAAAGCTAAAGGATGGGACCATTCTACCTTWAAAAAATTCTGCCTGGCATCTAACACCTTATCCTTTGTATTCAAGTTGCATTACATAGCCAGTTTTCTGCCAACTAATTAACTGTTCAAGTTCTGYTTGAACTAAAAGACAATCCATTTAATTTTGCCATAAAATCAGTAACATTTATATAGGTTATTTTTGTCTTATTCTGTTAGGTGTAAGAATTTGTCTGTATCTTTCTGGAATTCCTATTGGATGCTGCCCTCTGATGTTTGTGGAATGAACTGCTTTTGGGAAGCTGCTTTTAGGTAGGMTCTGTTATTAAATAGTACTTTATTATTTGATTGCAGACAGATGTAGCTGATATTTTTTGGCTCTTTAGCAAGGTGACAAAATATCTTGTTTGTGTCACATGCATTTTACTTGCTCATATTGGGGTTGCCTTTAGCTGGGCTTTTTCCTGTTAAATTATGTTCTRGAACTGTGAACTCAAGTGTTACTACAAAGAGTAGGTTTTTTTTCAGTTTTGTTGCTTCATTATATAGAAACTTGACTGAGCTTATTTACAGCAGAATTAATCAGTATAGAATGAAGGTCTGCACTTGACACAGAAATATTCAGAGCAAGGCTTTTACCTGGCCTTATGCTGCTGCTGAGCAGCATGTTTTAAAATACATTTTTGTACTCACATTGTCAAAAGCAGATTGTTTTAAATGTGTTTCCTAAACTCATGGGAGTATGTGTGGAGCTCTGTCTCAAATATTTTGTTTATTTTTACTGTCCCTATCCTTCATGTATAATTAGTATCCTCACAAAAATGAAGTTCTTTTATATCATCTTAATGACTCAAATCCAGCCATGGCATCCCGCTCAGTATCTTCTACTGAGTTATAGGTGCATTCTTTAATTTTAATTACCAGAGGTTTTTCTTTCTCTGCGGGAGACAGGATTCCCACATTATCAGAGATTTTTCTTTCTTTGGAAATTAAGGCTGTTAAATTTCCTGTAAGTCTATCTAAAATCGTTACTAAAATAAGTTTGTGTTTCACTCTTGCTTTTTTCCCAGCTTTTCCACTAGGTTCTCCCAYACCAAAAGATCAAACAACTAGTAATTAGAAATGTGCATATAAAAATCTATGTTGGTATTTTTGTGTTTTCTACATTGCTTCTTAACAGTTTTTTTGAAAGTATCTCTTTACTTTTAAAAGTTTCTTAGCCCTTTCAGAACCTGTATTTGTGCTTCAATAAAGGTTCATACCAGAGCTGTAATACTCTGAAACCAAATCTGCTCAGGTTCAGACGAGTTATTGTACTCGGAGAATAGATTTTGTTTTCCTTATTGTAAATTCAKCAACTGCACTGCTAAAAATTGTATTGCCAAAAGATCTTGTGTCACTTGGTCAAAACAGATACTGGACCAGTTATCTAAATGARCATGGTTTTCCTTTCCGTGCTTCTGCTGAGGTAACTGCATGCCTAACGGTGGTGGAGAAAGATGGGAGAAGGTTTACAGAGGCTGGGAGAGAAGGGAGCAGTTGATGGCAGATAACTTGGGAAGAAATTAGTGGAAAAACTAAAGCCATGTAGGCATAATGTTGAAGAAGGGAGTGAGACAAGTTACGAAAAAGGTAATTGGCTCTGTGGATGGGATGTGTTCACATTGAAGGTGAGACTGCAGAGCTCAAGCTGATAAGCTCTGCTGAACAATTTACACTTTATGCTGCCTCTGGTGTCAGGAAGAGGAAAATGTGGTGAAGGATGCTGGCATCTGAGGGTTATTGATAAATAGTAATTCTGGATGAAGATGAGAGGAGGATTTCTCTCTGGGAGTAAGGAGAGGTGTGCATGAAAGCGAGAGGAGCAGCACTGAGGCCTGGTTGCTAAGAAGGAGGCTGTGGTTCTCAGTGGTCTGTGTGCAGGGAAGTCAAATGCAGCTTATAATCACTAAAGGATTTTCATGGAGTCTGGAGTAAGAACCACAATTCTGAAGTCTCATAACTTCTGCCTTAATACATTTCTGAGATCTAATGTGTCTCATCCTCTTTGTAGTGTGTAGTTCCCAGAGGGAATGATGGCCTGTTCTTTCCAAAAGCTTCTTRCTCCATCTGCTTCAGGGATAAAGCTTTATGTAATGAACTCATGGATCTGAGTCCAAATGTTTCTGATATGGTATGAGCTGCAATTGAGTTTTTGTTAGCTCTTTCTAAATATTTTTTATTGCCTTTAAAGAAATAATTTTTAAGCAGGGATTTTAAAAATTGAACCCAGTAAATCTGAAATTTACAGAACAAAAATTGTGTGAACAAAGTGTCTGTAAAAGCACTGTAACATGATGAGTCAGTTTTTTGTTATGTGYCTTGAAGTGTTCTTCTAATCACTGATGTCACTAGATGTAGAAATAATAAAATACGTCTTTGAATCTCAGTGCATTTAAGTTTCTTTGGCATAATTTTTGTAATACTTTGTCATGAAAAGCTGTGTGTTATATGTGATTCAGGAGCTTGGCTTTCAGCTATGCAATTTGTGTAGGTTTTGCCCTTATTTATCACATGACCTTGTAATATCACTGTAGGCTCTCATGACTTCAGGGCTTAATTATTGTAATTCCCTTTTCAGGGGATTAGTGATGAGGCTAATCTGCTGCTTGCAGCTTGTTCACACTGCAGCAGTGTACTTACTTCTGGGTTTCGACTGCCCTCATCATATTCAGCTTGCATTGTGTTTTTTACATTACTACTTACTACATGGTGTAATGTTTAAATTAGCTTTATGTATAAAGGTCTGAATGGGCATGTCTTGTTTATATTTCAAGATTCTCTTTTTTGTGAGTATGTTAACCTGAACTAATTTTCAGATTTTGCTTCAAGATTCGTAAAGTGTTTCAGTCTGGAGATTAAATCATCTGCAGAATACAGATGTTTGCATATTGGTGTCTATGTCAAGTTGGTTTTAAATAGTCGCTAAAATTGAAAGGGYGTGGAGGATGATACAGGTGACCAGCCATTTAGATGCTGAGAAGTAAATGGTTGGTGTTAATCAAGAAGCACTTGGCTGTCTTGGGCATCTCTTTAGGACKAGGAGATACAACATGATCTTTGAAATACCCAGTCCTTTTGGACTGGCATCTGGAGATCAGGTGGGATATTCTAGAACTTATTAAATGACACTATACCTATGTTAAAAATYGATTCAAGCCTTAAGTGTTTACTTTATAAGGAGATGAATTACTGTCTATACTTCATAACTTGCTCACTAGATCTCTRTTAGCTTTAATGAGACTTTGGATGCAATCCTGTAGGTTAGCATCTTCATTTAGGTGCCCTGTTTTGGATCTAAATCTGACCTATGAGGTCTTTCATCCATGTGATCTTTAGTAATGYCCTGAAACTTTACTTGAGATTGGCTGCATAATCTAATTAAAATCTTAATATTCTTAAATCCRTTGATTTAAGATTGAAAAAATTGAGTTTTTTTAGTTCCAGGGCATTAAATTATTTCAAAACTCAGAATGGTTTTTGAATACAGCAATTATTTATGGCATTAAAAATGATTTACAGCGCTAAAATTCAGCAGTTTTACAGTGATAACTTTGCTTGTATTTTGGCTCATGGAACTGAAAATAATGTGTGTAGCTCTTCTGTGCCTTTAATAAAAGAGGGATATTTGCATATTATCTATTGCYAATTTAAAGAAAAACTTGTATGTATTTACATAGTTGCATAAATTGGATGGAGATTATGTGCTAAGAATCACATCTGATAATTTCTGTTTTGAAGTGTCTCTCTCTTTGACAAGTTTCTGAGAATGGGTGGTTTGTCAGGCATGGTGAAGTCTTTTCTAACTTCAGAACTGGTTTTGTCTGCATAATTTGRCATTGAACTTGTGATATATAATTTGATATTGAACTTGGTTCTATTAGCCCCCCTCCTCCCAATTTGCACAGTCTGTGCAAACAGCTCAAGTGCTTAATATTGTTTTGAAGATGAGCTTTGAGTTGATGTGTGTTTAAAAGCTTGGAAGCTTTTCTGGCTTAAATATATGAAATCCCGGGGACTATTAGTATACCCTCTGTGTTTGTCATCAAGCTAATGCCACCAATGCTAATTGCCTGATGACWATTTAAGCCATTATATTAAAATAATGAAATAACTTTTCAATGTACCCAGTATAATACATTCCAGGCATTTCTCACCATAACTTTTGCACAGGTGTCTTTAGCAGTAAAGGATTCCCCAGGCCGCACACCTTGTAATAATTTAGCCTCAAGGATACAGACAGTGCACATGGTCAGTGTATGTGAGGGATTTTCCARAATCCCTGGGAGAACCAGGGCATTCCGTAAGGCAGTCTGATCTATTAGTTTCCTCCCTCTTCTAGCTCCTGCAAGATGGAAGGATTGGAGAAATTTTTTTGTGTTTTGTCAGTGCTTGGGCAAAGCACTGAAGCGTGTGTTTGACAAAAAGGGCTTACTGGAGCAGAAAATGGACAAGTTTTAGTCCAAAAATGTTTTTAACAGAACTTCTTGAAAGTAAGGTTCATCTCACTTTTGTTGTTGAGTTCAACTCTGCTGTATTTGTCATTTTTTCCTAGGTCTTTAGTCCAGGGAAAGTGGAAAAAAACCTCATGTGTAGACTTAATGTCTTGTCAGCCTTTGACATTTTGATGTAACTTCCTGTAGTCTTTCTTTWAGTATAGCTGTTTTGATGAATTTCCTTGCTGGTAATGATTAGTAAGAATAAATGCTTGTGTAGTTTGTGTATAGATCTTCTAGACCTTTTTTTTCCCTTGTAGGCTGGGACAAGGGGGTGTGATTATGAGAGTGGTTCAGGTTAAGTGTAACCRTACATGTGAGGTGTAATTCTGTAGTTTGCATGTTCTGCTGAGCTATACTTTGCTGGTTTAAATATGATGAAGGTTATTTTGTTGAGTTACTTGCTGTAATAAATAGTAGTTTTTCATTAAGCCTGTGCTAGAAATAATGTCAAATGAAAAAATATTTTTGTATCAGATATGATTATATGAAAACACATCCTTCTGAGAAAATGCATCTAGCAGTGGTGGCCTGTGGTGAAAGACTGGAGGAGACTGTTACTATGTTGAGATCAGCCATTATTTTCAGCATCAAACCTCTCCATTTTCATATTTTTGCTGAGGACCAATTGCATGAGAGTTTCAAAGACATAGTAAGTATTAAAAAGATGTATTCAATCAATTTGTAGAACAATTTGAGTAATATATAGCAATTCTTCTGCTTCTTGGATAGTAGTTTGATGAAGTGGCAAAAATGCAAGTGTCTAAAAATGAGATAATAAGGCATTTGTAATAGTGGATGGGGATGTTTGAAATCTTTTCCAGTGGAAGAATGCCAGCTGCTGATACAAGAGTTTCTCCTACAGACTAAGCAAAACTTTTTGTCATGTTGAATCTGTTAAATACAAGCCCTATGTTTTGAATGTAAATCAGTTACCTTGTGCGAGCTTATTTAGAATTGGCTTTACAAGAAAAAAATTAGAGGTCTGTCCTTTTTTTTTGTCCCCGTGCTTACAGCATGAGTCAGTCTTATCTTGTTTAGAAAAAGTGAAACACCAGTTTTTGAATATGGTAGATATGGCAATGTCTGATTTCAGTAAATTTCCGTTAAAGGAAATTACATTATGACTGGAGTAGCAGTCTTAGAAGCTGACTAGGACGTAACKGTGGAGGGTTTTACTATTTTTGTGCTTAAAATGTCATATTAACTGTGACATTAGTATGTTACACATGCCAATTTATATACACTGTTACGCAAACAGTAGTTACGGCAAACATGGAGTAAGATTACTTTAAATTTAGAAAGATTTCATTGGTGTTTGTCCTCTGTTAACTAGTTAAGAGGGGGAAGAGTTTTAATTCATGTACTTACTTTTTGTAAATACTAATTTATTTTACTTCCTCTTCCTTTTGCATATGATCTGATATGATGTGTTTTCTTCATGGTGGCCTGGAGGTGCCACTTTTTGTTCAAGTCTTTTGATTAACTGATAAATTCTTCTATTTCTGTTATGGAAAAGAGACATTGCAGTTGTGTTCAATCATCAGTTTGAATAGTGAATTGATTTATTTTTTATAATAGAATTGAATTGCAGTAATTTTTGTGATTTCTTATTTTAGCTTGATGAATTCCCCTATGAAGGAAAAGTTAATTACACGTTATATCCAATAACATTTCCATCTGAGAGTGCAGCAGAATGGAAGAAATTGTTTAAGCCATGTGCTTCWCAAAGGCTATTTTTACCAGTAAGTTACTTTGTAATAAGACAATACARAAGTCTGTTTATGAAGCATCAAACTGTCCTTGTTATTCTGATTTCTGTTCTGTTTTAAATGAAGAACTGCTATTACTCCTGAAAGTTAGTTTTATGACATCCAAAAAAACCTCTGAATTTAACATTCTTCTGTGGCATTAGTACTCTATGGAATAAAAGTCCTTTTCTCACTTGATGCATTATGGCACAGTATCGTCACAAAGAGGTATAGGTCATGTCATTTTCTCAGAGGTAAGATGGATCTATCACAGCTCATCTCCTCATTTAGTTTGAAAGTTTTTTGCATGCATGGGTCTGAGAAGTGTTGGAGAAAATGAAATAAAAATGAGCTGTTATTGCTAGTGTTTTATGCATGTGCTCAACTGACACTTCAGAAAACATACTTCAGGCTTAGTGAATTAGAACAATGGCAGTTATCTCCCAAACACTGTCTCTTTTGGGGCTCTTAACAATTGTTTGTTTAGCTGCTTGCATGGGAAAGCAAGGGTTCAGGAGCTTGTGTTAAGAGTAATATTAGTCCTGGCCTACACCTACTTCTAMGGAACCTTGACATAAAATGTAGAATGAATGCCTTTGCATTGCTGTTCTATATAAAACTTATTTCCCCTCTACAAAAGTTCTTTTAAATGAGAGAAAAAGGAATGATGACATATTTATTGACAGCAAACTGAGAGCCTGAAGTGAATTTATTTGCACATGACAAAAATTTGTTAAGCTTTATTCTGTTTTATGAAGAGAAGTTTCATAAAACTTAACATTTTGGTTTTAAATTTCTTTCCCTTGCAGTTAATACTCAAAAATGTGGATTCACTACTGTATGTTGATACTGACATCCTGTTTTTGAGGCCTATTGATGATATTTGGTCTTTTCTGGGAAAGTTTAACTCCACACAAATTGCTGCAATGGCACCAGAACATGAGGAGCCTCGTATTGGGTGGTATAATCGTTTTGCTAGACATCCCTATTATGGWGTAACTGGAATTAATTCTGGAGTCATGCTAATGAATATGACACGTATCAGAAGAAAATATTTCAAGGTATGTGTGTTTCTTCTACTGCATTTTCTGCAGGATTTACATATTTTAATTCTATTCCTGTTTCATATTCATGTGTATTTTTCAAGATCTTTTTTCTGTAATTGTACTAATACTCTCCAAAGTACACTATGTATATATTTTTAAAATATCATTCACTGTAAGACTTGGAATTCTTGAATTTTGAGTGAGCTTGATTGTTTTAATTCTTCTTAGTTCTGAGAGATCCTCTGTGACTTGATACAATTTGCTGTAAATTATACTTGCCAGTAGATATRTCCTCATCATTTCTTCACTGTAGGCATCCCAGAAAACAATTATTTTGAACTTGTAAAATGTGTGCAGTTGTGTGACCAGGAGATGGTGCTAAAACATTTAGAAAGTTGTTGAAAACTAAAGTTTCCAAATTTTGAGCTTTTACATTGTAGCCAGGTGATTATCAGTCCAAGTMTCTTTTTATTTGCTTCGAAGACCTAATTTTTGTAGACAAAGAAGTTTGTCATGCAAGTAGATACTACTGCATGCATGGAAGCAGTGTACACAGCGGTAGAAATGGTCATTGCTCTTCAGACTTGAAATTTTTTCTTACGTACTTGAAACACAAGTACAAAAGCAGTGCTGTGTGGTTATGCCTCAGGGAAAAGTAYATCTCTGTTTAAGAGAAGTTTGATTAGGGAAAAATAATCATGCAGTCAAAAACTTTTAGAAGATGCATCCATGAGAAATAGAAACTTGCAGTAGGCATTAATTCTTCTCCATTTCCAGTTTAATAAACAGCTTTCATCCTGGCATTCTTGCTATGTGTTTTACTTAAGGGAAATCCAGAGAATTTAGGAGAAATGGAGAATGGATTATCTCAGTTTTAGTTAAAGTAGAAAGTTACAGTAGCTGTAGTATGTGGCTGTAGTTTCTCTGAGAAAGCTTCTCTATCATTGTTATTTACATCATCAATAAAATCTTGCATTGTCTATGTTATTTGTTTGTTTTACTGATTATAGCATATGGAGAAATGAAAATATGGGAAAGTATAATGAGAAAAAACATGGGATTGAAAACTGCATAAATCTTAACCTCTGACAATGCATTTCTGTGTAGTGATTTGAGTGGTAAATGCCAAGATGAAGTTGGTCATGTATTCATACTATGCCAGAATTCTTGTTTGGCTTCTCAGTTCRACTTAGGTCATCAATTCATTGGAAAATTTACATTTTTGGTAAAAATTTCAAAAGCAAACAGATTATGTAGGGTACTAAAATTGTTAGTAAAATGAACTGTAGTTTTCTAGAGAACAATATGAAGTCCTGTAATACCTAGTCCTCTTAAATGCCTAAAACTGGTGTTTTCATCAAATGTAAGTATATATATATATATATATATACTTAAAATATAAGATTTAAGTAGGAGAAGCGATTAATGAGTATTCTGAAATTAAAAATGAAGCATTGCATTTTCCCTTGGTTGTAGAGGGCAAGAATATTTTTTCTGTAGTTGTGTGAGATCTGGGCTAACAGAGCACTGAGCAAGGGAATAATTACGTTTATCCTCCCTTGGTACCTAGAGTTGGTCCCACAACCTTGCAGCGCATCACAGGGCCCTAAGATGCACAAGCTTTATTACAAAAATGCTACTGTACTCGCAGATACTTTGTTTTCATCTCTAGGTTCTTTGAATGTCTTAATATAAAGAAGAGTGGCCAACAGGAGAAATCGCAAACATCAAAGCAAAATTTGGAAAAGGATTTAGTGTAGCTGAGTCTATACACAGTGGGCCTGAGAGCGTATGATTTCCCTTGTGACTGATAGCAAAGGAGCTACCAGTCATACCTTTGGAAAAGAGATAAACCAAATTCAGGGGTAGGGACTATCCTAATATCCCTTGCCAGTGACACTGCAGATGGTTTTAGACCTTACAGGTAACAATTTCWTGTTGTGTCCCATTAACTATTCCAGTGAAATGCAGTAGAACTAGAAAATGCTTCATTGTTTTATAGGAAGGTGTAAATTTGTTTATATTCTTTCAGGAGCCTGCTCAACAAATTCTTCAAGGAGTATATAATTTTTGGGAATTTTTGTATCTTTTTAAAGATGCCTGTAGACCTTTTTGTATGATACTGTAGTACTAGTACATTTATCTGAAGTGGATGCTTTGGATCAGGATATTTCTCCAGTGCTGTGGATTTAAACTGTGAGTTCATTGTCTGTTGTAGCCCAAATTACAATCTGAGCTGCTTGAGGCCTTTAAGCTTCTCTTTTCTCTTGTCACATTGATTACTTAGAGTCAGGAGGAGCCTGAAGATAAGATGGATAAATAAAAAGTAGAATCAGAGACTTTAGCCAATGGTTATAATGTTCATCTGGGTAGCAATAAACCTGTAGTTCTATGTATTGCTGCAGGATTAAGTAATCTTTTATTCCCTTGCCTATTTGTGTCTCAGTCTTCTCAGGACTGTCAGGTCAAGCCATTTCAGACAAGCATCCTGCTCCTTGGCTGCCAGTGGTGCCTAATGGATGTTTTTACTCCTGGTCCTATCTTATCTGTCTTGTGTGTTGTGAGTGTCTGTGTTTATGTACAGCACAAACACATGTGCATGCATTTATACAAATACCTGTGCATGCATAGATGTGTTACTGAATACAGTGAGGTCATCAAACTGCATAACTGGACATGAGACTAGAATTCATAATGAAGCTTCTGATGGTTAGTGCCTGCATGTTGTCTCTGCTAAACAGCAGTTAGAAAATGGGAATGCAAAGCATTCAAGATTGTATMGGATATGGAAGATGTAATAGTTAATTTTTTTTTTATTCGCATGCATATAGATTTTTTTTAAAACTGGAGAAGCTATAGAAAATACTACTGATAGGGTGTTTTAAGCAAGAAGTCCTAAACCAGGGAGGCAATGTGAATAGAGAGGAATGACTTCTATCAAATTTAGTAAGGTTAGTTGTTGCCTGAGATGCAGGCAATCGAGGAAGGTTACAAGCTCTTAGAAAATCAAAHAAACCCCAAACAAATTAACTCCAGGTAGAGTGTGCAAAGTAGGGTTCATGGGTATGCTTTAGGAAAAAAAAAAAAAAATCAGAGTTCAGAGAGCCTCTCTGACCTAAACCATTATAACTTTTTTTTTACCATTCAGTGTTGCTTAGGGCTATAGTTTGAAGAAATATGGTGAGCCTGCACATAAATTAATTGCTTCTAAAAGGAGGGTTCTTGTCTCTTACCAGCTGCTCGTCCCTGCTTTTCCCATTTACTTATTCATAGCCTTTGGTGTTTGGCCCTTTCTRTGATTCAATTCAATTTGGTAAAATTAGAAAAAATAAATCCTTCTGCTGGGTTATTGAGGTAAATCAGCTTACAAAAACATGCAGTAAGTGTTAGCACCACACTCTTAGTGCATTAACAGGTAGAATCATGTAACTAGAAGGAAGAGGGCTGGCTCTCCTTTGACATTAAGGAAATTTAAATTGGTTAGCTGTTTGTGGGACACACCTGCATTTTGTTTAGATATTGCTGTATGATTTGAGAATTTTTCCTCATCTTTTTATTTTCTTCCTAGAATTTAGGAAAAGCTAATACAAGGCTAAATGTGACAGTTCTTGTAAGTGTGACTTAAGCCTTGGCCAGGCAGAAGTTTTCTGGTACAGAAATGAGTAATGACCAAGCTAAATAAACAAAACCAACCCAAAATATCGGMAAATACCTCAGTATCTGTATATATATTAGTTCTTACCCATTTTCTTCTACTCAAGTAAACTAGAATTTTGAGAGTTCTTAAGAGCCTGTCTGCATCAGTTTGRTGGCATCACAGAAATGCCTACTATTTTTTTTTCTCTCATGTCTCTAATATTCTTTGCATGTTGTTGAATACCGGAGAAAAGGCTTTTATTCTGAGAACCCCAAAATTACTGTAGAATTTTTTTCTTTGAGTTTTTTTGACTTGAGTAACTTCTGAAAAGCAGTTCTATCAGTGTCCTACTTCTCAGGCTGTTTCACCTCACCATAAGTTACAACAGAATATTTAAAAGAAGGAAAACAAGTAATTATTCAAGTAGTTTCTCTTGCTCCTACACTGGTGTCATTATATATCACTGCTCTTTTATTAATACATAGCTCTTTTCTATTTATGCAAAGGTTATGGAAATATTACAATTTACAGCTCTTAAATCTGACAGCACTGTTTATCAGGTAGTAGTGCTTTGAGTCATCTGCCTGTGTGATGCATGTTGTAYCTGCTTTGCATCTTCTTGGGATATCATCTAGATTTCTCTGCTGTTAAAACTCTTTAAGTGGAAAGAAAATTCTATTAAATAACACTTTAACAATTTAAATTCCTATTTCTACAAGTTGCTCTAAGACTTTATTTGCTATTGTATAATCTCTTAGCATGATTATCCTGGTATGAGTGAGCTAATTTAAATTTGTTTTTAATTCTTAGCATTGTGTCTGAATGTAAATCTTAGGTCAATATTCTGTMGATGACAAAGTTCAGGTGAGTGAGTAATCTTTACTGAGTGTGATTCAGTCTAATTTATTTGCTTTTTGAGAAGGTTTTAGCTCTGTTAAAGCCTGTGTTTTATTTCATTTAACTACATTGCATTGAGCCTAATGATAACTCTTACTAGAGAAGAATTTTCGTGTGCGTTTCTTATGCCTGTGCTCACCAAATACTTGCAGGCAATCATAGTCATAAATTTTTTAGGAGAATAGGTACTATTATATTCTGTTTGGCTTYTTCCATAATACAAACTATAGATCTTTTTTGTATTAATTCTTGTCTGAAATCTTGTAATATGTCTTGTTTTAGTCTTTAGTTCTGAAAGCCCTTCATATTTGATGGCTGAAATGATTTGAAGAAAAAGTAAAAAAAAAAAAAAAGTAAAAACTGAACTGTGCTTTCTACTTTGTAAGTGTAAAGCTCAGAGAAGAAAGTCTTTGATACTGTAAATCTCAAAGTGACTATTTTGCTGCTGGTAATCTGTCTCTTAACATGATTTTCCTGTATACAAATCCCAAACTATACTGGAGGTTTTTTTTTTTTTTTTGGCAACTTGGTTAAAAGGAAGCAAGGGTACAATGCTTGTACTTGCTCAGGAATTTTCTCTCTCTGGGATTTATTGTTATTCCATCCTCACTCTCAAAACAGTGAAGTACAAGGTACAAAGTGAGCAGCCTTGTTCCTTTTATRCTCTATTTGAGTTTAAATAATATGTAAAGATAGACATTAGCTTTAGAATATGTAGCTACGTAAACTGCAGATTTGAACCCCTTGTTAACATGGAATTCAGTGTAGGCCAGTGTACTCCAAGTAGCTGCTCCTCACCAGAGCCTTAGAAGAACTCCTTTTTGTCTCTTGAATTTAGTAAAAACTGTTGTTTTGGTTTTTACTGACTTTTGTTACTGAAAAGTTGTCCCGTTGGTGTGGAAATTCAAGTTCAGTAACTAAGAAAAATAAGTTCAACTTGATGAAAATTCTTCTGAAAACATTTGAAGGATTGCTATATTTCTTTACAATGCTTTGTAGCCAGTATTTTTTATGTGTTTGGAACTATTGAAGAATTAATTTTATATTGAACTGGTTTGAATTTTTTAAATCAGCATTAGAACCTGTGTATACTACCACTTTGTCATAAAGAGAGAAATTGAATGAGTGTGTATATTTAAATACTCCCCATCTACTTGCTGCATGACTTAGATGCTTTTTGGGTGTTGCATCCTACTGCTGTATGGGATACCCCTTGCTATTTCTTAAAATTCTTGATTTAAGGTGCTTGAGGGAAATTTTTCTGGTAAATTAATAATTGAGAAATTAAGCACATTTGAAATACCCATAACTATTTTCCTTAGATAGCCTTATTGGTTTAAAAAGAAGTCGTCATCTATATATTTGAGATTTGTAACTTTGAGTTGTTATTGTGATTTGTGAGGCATTTCCTTCCCTGTAGGTATAATTGTCCTGAATGTGTGGTGTTTTGCTTTGTTTTGTTTAACAGAACGATATGACACCAGTGCGGTTACAATGGGGAGAAATTCTTATGCCACTACTGAAGAAATACAAGTTGAACATAACTTGGGGTGATCAGGATCTATTGAACATTATGTTTTTTCACAATCCAGGTAAATCCGTGTTGATTTTAAGTCTAACACTGCAAAATTATCTTTCCCATGGTGTTCAAAAATCTGGGAAAATACTCTGTTAGTGGGCTTTTGGGTGAAAACATTCAAGGGACCATTCACATCTTTCATTCTCTTAAAGTGTTTCAGACCCAGTGCTGGAGCTTACTAGAGTGTAATTAATTTTTAGATTTCAAAACAGTTGTACAGAAATGGATAAAGCAGTCCTGAAAAAAAAAAAAAAAAGAAGATGAGTTTATTTCCTGAAACAATTTCGATATCTAACRCAGAACTCTCATTTTTCCAAACAGAAAGTCTTTATGTCTTTCCTTGCCAATGGAATTACCGGCCTGACCACTGCATCTATGGAAGCAATTGTAAGGCAGCTGAAGAAGAAGGTATATTTATTCTTCATGGAAATAGAGGTGTTTACCATGATGATAAACAACCAACTTTTAGGGCAGTCTATGAAGCGATAAAAAATGTAAGTGTTTTTTGCGTTACACTGGTTATTTTTTTATGTATGTTGATCTGTAGTGGTACATGTATTTTGTAGCTTGATTGTAAGAGTAATTTTTTTTCTTTTAAGCAATGTCAAGTGTTTCACCAGTTTTTCCTTTATTGTTTGGGTGGAGTTCCAGTACATTCCTGTTTTGATGAGCATCTTTGGAAACACAGTGTAGACTATGTCTGCTTTAGGATTCTAAAACAATTCCTGTAGTTGTCAGTGTTTATTTTAAAGGCTTTATTCTCATTTATTTAACAAATCACTTAGTAAACTGTTTCCATGAGCATCTGGAGAACTTAGGATMTCTGAATATGATATTCAGGAGCAAACAAGGATCATTGAAATCCAGCTACATGTCCCAGCACAGGAGAATCACACCAAGAGTCCCCAGGAGTCACACCATGTGCCTGAGAGGGTTGTCCAAACACTTTTGCACTCAGTCACATTTGGTGCTGTGATCACTTCTCTGGGGGTGCTGTTCGAGTTCCCAACCACCCTCTGGGTGAAGAACCTTTTTTTAATATCCAACCTAAACCTCCCCTGACAACTTCGGGCCATTCCYTCTGGTCCTGTCCCTGGTCACCGCAGAGATCAGTGTCCGCCCCTCCTCTTCCCCTCACAAGGAAGTTGAGACTTCAGTGAGGTCTCCACTCAGTCTTCTCCAGGCAGAGCAGTCCAGGTGATCTCAGTGCTCCTCACGGGGCTTCTTCTCGAGTCCCTTCACCATCTTTGTTGCCCTCCTTTGGACACTGTCTAACGGCTTTATATCCTTCCAATATTGGTCACCTGTGCTGTGGTGGCCAAAACTGCACACACTACTCAAGGTGAGACCACACCAGTGGAGAGAGTAGAGAGGGACAATCTTTTTCTCTGGGCAGAACAACCCAATATGAAGTTTCATTTTTCTGGAGATTTTAAAATGTAGGAAAAATCCCTTCTTCCCAAAGTTTGCATGTATTTATTGCAACATTTTAATACTTAATTGTATCTAGATTCAGATTGTAAAAAAAAAAATTATATACTGTGTTTTGACCTGTTCTAGAAATTCAGTGTATTAATATGTTACTATTCCTTTAAATACTATGCACAGTGACTTCCTTTCATTCTGCAAATAAATCATCTAATAAACTATTTATCACTACATCAGTATACTCACTGAAGAGCTGTAAAACTTAGCGCTGATGCACATTTTAATGTAGCAGGCTACTGTGTGTGTATAACCTACAAAAATCAATAGTATATTTTAATGTTGCTTTATTACATGTTGTCATATAGATATAAAAATGAAGAAAAGTACTTTTGGGGGTCTGAGAATACATTTCAGGGAAAGTGATTGCGTTTCCATAAAAATATTATTTCTTTGTTTCCTTTGAGCATTGTCAAAAACAGAAGAAAAAAATATTTCCTTTTATTTATGGTCCAATTTTGTATTATGAACATGTCAGAGAAAGCACGTAAACCACTACTGATTCAATGGTAATAAGATGAACAAAATTATGTTACTTCAAAATGCTGTTTTAAATTAACATTTATGTATAAAAAGTATTGCATTGTTGAGTTAATGGCAAATTTATTTCTTGCCCATGTTAAACCTAGTATGTGTTTGACCATCACTCAGYTTAATGAAACTTCAGCAGTACCACTTTTTATACTGTATAATGTTTCATTATAATTTGATAAGATTTGTATTACTTAAAGGTTATAGATCATTTGAGAAAGTTGGCATGCAGCAAAAAACAATCCAGACATCATTTTAGATTGTAAATTTTTAATTGGATAAGGTAATTTTAAATTTCCTCCTTGTCTGAGTACATTAATTTGCTTACATTAAAAAAAATCTTTCTTTTTAGGCTTATTGAAAGCATGAGAGTATATTTCTGTAATTTAGAGTTGTTTTGCAATTATTGCATTCAGAAGCACTTGTGAGCTCTTGAAAACATTTAATAGACCTATAGACAGCAAATATGATGCTGAAAAGTATTTTTATAAAACTCCAATACCTCTGAGTAATGACAATCTTCCATATTAATCTTTAATTTTCTTAACCTCTTTACAGTATTCTTTTGGAGATGACCTGGTTCATTCACTGTTGCAGCCCCTAGAACTGGAATTACAGAAAACCACGCACACATATTGTGGAAGAGTATACAAAGTATTCATAAAGCAGCTAACAAAAAGCATAAGAGACTTGTATGCCAGAAGATCAAAGGGAAGGTGATATTTGACTCCTCACAGYTACACCGAGAGACTGAATTAACAAAACTAGTCAAAAGGTGCAAGAATTCTATTACAGCTTGAATGGGCTCTTAATATGCCCAGAAAAAAGTTTACTAGCATACATAAAAATGAAGAAAATACTCATGTAATGAAGAACAGGAACTTATTTCTGCAAAGGTGTCTTTTTGGTCTTTTGAAGTTYAATCACTGCTAATGTTTATCTCATATCTGATGATTTGGGTGTTACTGGCTTCACGGTCAGTACTTTTAGTCTGCATAATTCAGTTACCTAATGATAAATGAACAAGGAAGAAATGAAGATGGCTCTGTTTGGGAGTGTACCTCATATATTGTCTAAAATTCTGTTAAACTGTGAATGTAGCAATAACTGAGTCAGCAGCACTAACCTCACTTTAAAGGTGTGAGCCTTTATGTAAACAAAGTTGTTTACAAGTGCAGAAAACACTCTTTTCAAAGAAATGTGTTGTAATCATTGACAATCTGTATGTGCCTTTATATGTTCATCTCTTACATGTTGAAGTACTGTTTTGACAATCTTGTTTCTTTTATCTCAGATGTAAACTGCACACTATAGATACAATTTTCTGAGAAATTAATAACTAGTATGTGATACTAGTTTTCTGTTAGTAAATACAGAGACTTTATATTAAAAATAATTTGTTTCAACATTGTAGGGCCATTAGCACCAAAAGGTAGAGGAGAATTGAGGGGGTTTTACGTAAAAATCCAGTTTGAAGTTGCTGGTCTTAAAATGCTTAAAAATTTAATGGTTTTGCAGCTTTATAGGGCATTTTGGAAGTAGAAGAAAAGCCCTACAGTGGAAAGCTGTTGCTGTTGTATTTCTGTAATAGGAATTATTACTTGATTATTGTTATAGAGTATGTAGTACCTAAAAGTGAAGAGCTGTAGTAAGAGTTCTGATGTTTCATCAGACTGTGTAGTAGATGGGTTTCTTAGAGCGTATATCCTGTTATGATATTTTTTAATAAATGGCTTTAAAATAGTTTTGGGGCAGACCCTCAACTACATTATTGTGGATAGGGTGATAGTGATTTGCAACAGGTAAGGATTAGGTTTTCTCCAGTTATCATAGTGAAAAAAGAAAATCTTCTGTTTAAGKAATACAAACTTAAAGAGAAAAACATGAAGAAAAGGACTGAATTCTAGTGTTGCAGTAAAATATTTAAACTTGCATGGTATGAAATGTATTTGTAAAGTATATTTGAACTTAGAAAACCTATCTAAGTGAGATGAAGTCTTCATAAAGTGAGCTTTTGGATTCCAGGAAAGTTCCTGTGTGTTGAACATGGAGGATCCACTCACTGATTTGCACCTTCATCCCAACCCCATTTTAGAAGCTTAATTTCTGTGACTGTTTCCTTGTCAAAGATAGACTGGCTCTGACTTCCAGATCCGTGTGAGCTGGACAAATGCTTTAGCAGTACAAAAACACACTCCACTGTAAGCAGAGTTTGTATCCTCTTCTAATTTCCCTGCAGGCTCAGGGTGTAAATTTTTGGAATGGAACTCTAGGAAGCAGACTGCCTCCTTGTGTAGGTATCTTTTCCTTGCTGTGTAACCTTTTGAAGCCTGAAAATGTAGAAATCTGTGTGAAGGCGAATACTGTAACTGACTGATTTTGCAATATGCAGTGCATTATTTTTTTACATAAATACTGATTTTTATATCAATTTGTCTTCGGCTTTCCTTTTTCCTTGTACTATGTGTTCATATTTTAAAAAATTTTATACAATTTTTTTGTGTTTGTCTTTGCAGAAGCTTTCAGTTTTGGATTTAGTATGTTGTAGACATGTCAAGAATACTCTTAAAACTTAATGGGCCATTTGAGAAAAAAAGTGGACTGTGAACATTAGCAGCAATCTTTCCACTTCAATTTGAAATTTTGTGGGGGAGTAGAACAGAAAGAATTCATATTGATGCTTACTGTAGGACAGAAATTCTTATTTTCTGCTTCTGTCTAGAAATGTTAACTTACCATATTACAAATAGCAGAATATGGCCTTCTACCATATGTTTTGATTAATTCTTTTTCATATAAATGAAAACTGCTCACCTCAACTATCCATTTCCAGGTAACACTCACAAACACTTTAGAAAACTTACAGAAAAGCAAGTAGCTTCCATTAGCAAGTTCTCTAGAGTATTTGTCTGTTTCAAATACATTTTTAGTTCTCTGAGAATTCCTATGTTTCAAATTTAGAAAAATTACCTACCTTTACAAATAAAAAAACAAGTCTGGTTTATAAGGGAAACATTTGAAGACACTAACAAGACTGGAAATCCAGGTAATRTGATAGAAGCCTATTTTTAATGATTTATTTATTATAAAGTTATTATAAAGTGTGAAGTTTGATAGAAAAATGTAAACATCAGGARATGTACATTCAAGTTAAGATAAATCTGTCTTCCTCATGCTTGATTAGTCTCCATGTCACAGTACCATTTTTCTGTCTCTGTTTAAATGGATCACAGTCTCATGGTACAGAGATCTATCTATGTGAAGATATGATTGTCTTATTTGGATGAACTTCCGTCACTCTTTGTAGACAGTATGAAAAGTATGAAAAAGCCAGCGATCCCTTAGCAGAAAGTGGATTCTTCTGTAGCAGGGACAGTAGGAGTATGATGTAATGGGAAGGTACTTCTCATCGCCATGGATCTTGCAAAAGATCTTGTATCTGTCTTTTGGGGTTGTTGCTGTGAGTCTGAGCATTTTTCTGTGCATGGGAACTCAGAAGTGATTTTTCTTCTTATTTCTAATCTCTTCTGTTTCTTTTTTTGAAGTTCATTTTTGTCCAACTTAATTTTTCTGCATATTTAAAAAGAATAACTAAATTCCTACAGAGTTTTGCACAAATAACAGCCGAGTTATTTGCTTAAGTTGTCCAAATGAACCCAGCAAGTGAAAAATAAGCAAATGCACACTAGGTTCCCTTAGGAAAACAAAAATGTTGTTTGATCTCTTTAACTCCACAGAGAAACATTTAACAACTTGCTTGTATTCTACTGCCAAATCTTAAGTAATGCAGGATAATTTCCTATAGAAATGCAGATTGCCTCACATTTGCACTGTAGTCCTAGCAGACAACCTGAAACTGTTACTCAGGTTTCAAAACAGAAGATGTTTGCAAAGGTGATAGTGAATTTCCACTTCAGGAAGTGAGGAGGAGATCTTATTTTAAAGTAGTTCTCAAAATCTCTCTCTTGTAACCATTTAGTGGATCTATATAAGAACAGCTTGTCTTCCAAAGTTGTCAGGAAATTTAAGATATGTTGTTCTCCAGTACCTTTTCAAGCCTTTGTGGGCCTATTAAAATTTTAAGTTTCTTGAAGGAATATTAAGCAATTGGAAATTCTTTCGTTAGCGTTCAGTTGTGTCTCTTCAAATCTGTGGTTGCTTTATGCACAGCTGCAGTTAATTCTTCAGAGAGTCCTCATTTAAACTTATGAATGTGCATCTTCCTGTATATTTGCTGGCAAATTCCTGCAGGGCTTCTTTATGTTCCCTTCTGCCTTTTCCGTGCACTGCTTTTAAGAGATAATCACAAAGCTCTTCATTCATTTGAATGTTTATAAAAATTGCATAAGGTATTATTGCAGGTCTCTTTGCATAAACCTGTAATTAAAGGAGGACCTGTATTCCTGCTGTGGTAGGGTTTTACGTTTTCTTCAGATTGCTATTTGATAATGTTCAGGTAGGAGGAATTTTGCAGCCTTTAGTTAAGTTATGTTCCTTCAGTGATATCTGGTCATTTCTTCCCAGAGTATCTGTTCTCTTATGATAGATGCAAGGCTGCTGCCTGCCTACTTGATCTATATGATTGCAAGTTTCTTAAATCAAAGCAGTGACCATCAGTTCTTTCAAATCTGGATTTTAAGTGCTTATCCTTTATCTGGGATAAACCTTAGTTGCATAAACTAGGGACCCAGTTTATTTCCACTTACAGATAGAATGACAGAATGGTTTGAGTTGGAAGAGACCTTAGAGCTCACTACTTTCCAACCCCTTCTCATGGGCAGGGACCCTCCCACTAGATCAGGTTGTTCAAAGCCGCATCCAGCCTAGCCTTGAGYAGTTCCAGGGATGGGGCATCCACAACTGCTTTGGACAACCTGTTCCAATATCTCACCATCTTCACTGTAAAGAATTTGTTCCCTGATACCTAATATGAACCTCCCCTCTTACAGTTTAAACCCATTCTCTTATCCTATCACCAATGCCTTTGTAAAAAGGCCTTTTTCAGCTCTCTTGTAGGCCCCCTTCAGGTACTGGAAGGATGTGTCCATCTTTTATTTAATTTCCTTGTTTTAGTTTCCAGCTAATCTGTAGGAATAAAATAGTGAGATAACAAGGAATGCACAGTTTTTCACAACAGAAGCTAGAGAACTATAAATTTCTGAGATACAGTTAACAATTTTGAAATAGTTTTCTATCCTTAAATCTGATTTCTGATTTGGTGGATGTGAGGGTTAATGTCCTTGGTTCATCAAATCATTTGACTTTTCCTGTGTCAGCACCATATGTGGAGGGATGGGCAGATAAYTCTTAAAAGATTGATTCTTTCATTTACTGTGAATTCCAAGGAAAAGAACTGTAACTTGTCGCTGTAGATCTTTAGTATCACCCTATCTAAACTCTTCCAAACTAGAAATATCCACCCCCCCCTGCTCCTGTATTGTGGTACTGGTTTTCTTAATGGTCATGCTAAAATGGGAGAGGAAATGATGCAATTATTTGGATCTCCTTGTTAGGTCCTGGTCTGCTGTCTTTAAAATACCACATGACCCATAAAAACTAACAACCAAAACCTAATTTTTGGTCTGGGTCAAAGCCAGAGATAACACAGTAACACCTCATTTTGGAACACGGTCGTGGGCTTACTCATAGGTGCCGTGGTCTTTGCAGCTGTGTATGGGGGGCTGGGCTTTGGACTCGGTGTGGGCAGGACTCGTGGATGTACGCATGAGCGAGATGATATGGTGTGTGGGATGGAGCTGGGCTGAAGCGACCAGTGTGGATTGGACAGATGAAAACATCTGTCCAATCAGAGTCTGGAACGTGATGTGTGAGAGTTTTTCTGGTTATGTAATCTGTCTAAAACTTTACTGATTGSTGCATTTCTTAAAACCGGGTAAAGATAAGRGATTCCTATAAAAGCCGCACTGCGAGCGGAGTCAGCTCAGACGGAGCTGAATCACTAAGAAGAAAGAGCTGAAATTGCTAAAGCTAAAAGAGCTGGAATACGAAGWTTAATAAAAGAAGAAACCTGGACCTGCCTGCGTGTTGGAGTGGTGTTTTCCTGCGGGGTGCTGCGGAGCGGGGCGTTCGCACATAGGTTAGACATCAGGATAGGTTCCTTGCACTGTTTTACCAGAACTGGTCTGCAAAAACAGAACTTTGCAAGGGGAGAAAAGAGGCTCTGAAGTTTGTTTGCTAGGGATTGTTTCTGTGCCTCAGACCTCCCTAAGGCCATGGAGTGCAAAGGGGCAGCTTACTTGTGGCTTTCTCACCTCTTGGAGAAGTGCTGCTAGGTTGTGCTGTCTTTAATTTTCTCATTACTGGCATTGAACACTGACAGCTAAAAATGCTTTTTGTGCCTTTCAAAGTGGCCTTTCTATTCTATGCAGCTTATATTAAATTATTAAACTGAGATGAGCAATTTATTAGCATTTTCTACTACCTTCATATTCTGGGAGGTCACTTTCCTCCTGTTCTTCCTCTGGGTCATTTAATATCATGCCCTCATTTTCAGAATTATAATCTGGGTACAACAGGTCCATTTTTTTCTTCTATGTGTTATGAATGTTAATATCCTGCCAGTCATTTCTGTACACATTTTGCTAGAATAATTCACATTCAATCAGTCTGTAGTATTTATAAGAGTAGCRTTGGAATGCAAAAGTAGATGTGGAAGTTATCCTAAACTGCAAATCTTTGTGGTTGAATTAATGAGTATTTAGAGTGTGGGGTTTTTTGGCTTCCAAGGAAATTAAAGCAATATAATCAGTTTTAACTCATTTAAGACTAGGAAATCAAATTTAATTAAAACTGATGTTTTAGCCTTAYAATGCTGACCTACTGTGTCTCAGTGAGCAGCTGGTGTTTAGGAAACTCTGCTTGCCTATTGGATATCATGGAACTCCTGTCAAGTATTCAATGCAGTTCTGACTAGTCACTGGTATTGCAATACTTTTCATTTTAAAATACTTCGCTATGTTTTTATTTTTTCATTTTACATTTTTATGCCATGGATACCCAAGGTGAATTTAGATTGCAGATCTAAGCCCAAGAAATAAACAACTTTGCTGCCCAAAGTGTGTTATATATATTTGTCTTTTGATTTGATATTATTCACCAGTCCTGTGGGTAAATTGATGTATCGGGGGTTTACTGCCTCTCATCTCTTCTGCTTGCTGTTCCTGGCTTGTCTCCTTTCTCCACTSCCCCTGCAGTCTACTTGCTGCCTGTCTTCTCCAGGAGTTGGTGTCACTTTACCTTTCTGATGTTTCTGGATCTCACTAACTCTTGTCTTCTGCCACCAGGTACATGCTTTGAGAACTGTTTGCTGTGATAAGGTAACTGGACTAGTTCAAGTCAAAAGGGTTCCCTGGAGCAGGCCTGCTGCTTTCTCCACAGTGCTACTGCATGRACATGTGTCTGGGCACCTCA